TTGTATGCAATTAGGAAAAAAATGCGGATCTCTAAGTCTACTTTCAGGAATTGACCATTTTCACGGTGTTGCTGGATATCCAGAGAATCGTTTTCTGGCCACTTGGTTGCAGAATCGATTTAGTTATGGTATATTTCCTCTACACTCAAGATTTTATGCAATTTAGAAAAAAAATCGTGGATCTCTGGGACTACTTTTAGGAAATAACCAATTTCCCAGTAAATCCGGATATCCAGACGGGCGTTTATGGCCACTGGTGGATCGAATCAATATGGAGTTTTACATTTTCTAAAAACTCACTCTAGGTCTACTTTCAGGAATTGACCTTAATTCCAGTAATTCAGGATATCCAGAGGACCGTTTTCTGGCTACCCGATAGCAGAATCGATGTAGTGATGGCATATTTCCTCTATGCTCATGCTTGTACGCAATTCAGAAGGAAAAAAATCACGGGTCTCTAGGTCAACTTTTAAGAATTGACTTTTTTCCTGGTGATTTCGGATATCCAGAGGACGTATTCCGGCCACCCAGTAGCAGAATCGATATGATGATGACAAATTTCTTCTCTGCTCATAATTGTAAGCAAATCTAGAAAAACACGGATCTCTATGTCTACTTTGAAGAGTTAACTATTTTCCCGGTGACTCCGGATATCCAGAGGACCGTTTTCTGGCCACTTGGTTGCAGAATCGATATGGTGAAGGTTTATTTCCTCTATGCTCATGATTGTATGAAATTTATAAAAAAAAATCGTGGATCTCGAGGTCTACTTTCCGGAATTGACCATTTTCCCGGTGAATCCGGATATCCAGAAGAGCATTCAACAACCCCTGTGGGACCAAATCAATATGACACTGACATATATCTTCTCAACTAAGGGTTCTTCACATTTTCTTAAAACTCACGGATCTCCAGGTCAACTTTTAAGAATAGACTATTTTCAAGGTGATTCCAGATATCCAGAGGACCGTATTCTGGCCACCCGGTAGCATTATATGTAAGTTAGAAAAAATCGCGGATCTCTAGGTCTACTTTCAGGATTTGACTAATTTCCCGGCGATTCCGAATATCCAGAGAACCGTACTTGATTGCCGAATTGATATGGTGATGTTGTATTTCCTCTATGCACATGATTGTTTGCAAATTGAAAATGATTCCGAATATCCAGAGGACCGTATTCTGGCCACTCGGTAGCATAATCCATATGTTGATGTCGTATTTCATCTATGCTAATGATTATATGCAAGTTAGAAAAAAAATCGCGGATCTCTAGGTCTACTTTCTGGAATTGTTTAATTTCTCAGTGATTCCGGATATCCAGAGGACCGTTTTCTGGCCACTTGATTGCAAAATCGATATGGTGATGGTATATTTCTTTTATGCTCATGATTATATGCAGGTTAGAAAAAATCGCGGATCTCTAGGTCTACTTTCTGGAATTGACCATTTTCCCGGTGAATCCGAATTTCCACAGAGCCACCTTTCACGGGTTTTATCGTTCCGATTGGCCACCCACAACTCCAATCTGTTCCTTGTCTGTTCCGTTTGAAAGTAGATAGTCATACCTTTCAAGTAGTTGCTCAATCTTAAGATGTGGTAGCCAAATTGCCGAGAACCATGTCAACATGAATCGACACGCATTTTGCTCGGAACTTTTCCGGGTTTTTTTCCGTTCCGGCTGGCCAACCACTGGTCCAATTGGGTTTCTATCTATTCAAAATAAAATAAGATGGCCATATATTTTGATTGGTGGCTGAATCATAACGATTGGTCTTTGCATTGCTGAACTAGCCATGTCAACATGCATCGACACGCATTTTGCAGCATTGGGGTTATGTCAGTTAATAAAGCCACAACGGATGAACTCGAAAATGCGAATCCTCGCAGAAACTGGTACCTCCCTGTGGGGGTGGTGATCAACGTGAAGAAACCAGGGAAAACACGCATCGTTTGGGACGCTGCTGCCAAAGTGGACGGAGTTCCGATAAACAGCATGCTGCTAAAAGGGCCGGACCAGTTGGTGTCGCTGCACAGTGTTCGGGAGCACAGTGTTCGATATCCCAGAGTGCCGGAAGGAATACTGCAGAGCACGTACGTGGACCTCGATAGCTTTGGGTCGGAAGAAAGAGCTCTTCGTATTTCTGAGGAAGTACGTCAGATTTTCCGGAACGGTGGGTTCGAATTGAGGAACTGGATCTCGAACAACGAGGGTGTTCTGGAGCACCTTGAGGAGACACAAGCAACTACTAGTAAAAGCTTGATAACTACGAGCACCACTACTGAACGTGTGCTTGGGATGTTGTGGGACCCACTAACGGATAAACTATCGTTCAGCACTAGAATGAGCGATGAAGTTCAATCTCTCCTGGAAAATGACAGAATCCCAACGAAGAGGCAGGTGCTACGCTGCGTAATGACTCCCAACGGGTCGGTTTATTGGCCATGTAAAATACATTCACTGAAAAACAATAGTGACTTCTGTTCGCTCTGCTTCGTCATGCATAAGAGATACGGATTTGTACTGTTGAAGAAAAAAGTTAGAGGCAAATGAATGTAAATGAATGCACGAAATGAATGCAAATAATTTTCCATGCCTGACTGCCCTTTTTCCAAATTGGACACACATTGGTAGCTTAGCCCTTATAAAAATAACCATAAAAGAGAGCTTAACGACGTGTTCGGGGTATCATTCAAACCATTTGAGATATAGTTTACCTATCCGGGATACAGTTTATTTATTTTATTTGTTGATAAGGAAGGGTATTGCCTTTGATATCGTATGTTTAACATATTTTCCAAATATATTTAAAAAAAATTTCTTGTTCGTCACCTGTTTGAAAAGACACTAAAACAATATAACCATCACAAACTCAATGTTTTTTTTTTTCTTTGGTTTGTTTTCCGTCGACCTCGTTTTCCGTGCTGAGAACCAATGTTACCGACGCCAGGGAGGCAGCTTCCACACCTGGACCCTACCTATCGACCCATCAACTCATGAACCGGGGACCAACGGCTTTACTTCCGTGATCAGCGATGTTATGCCTCAGAACATCCCGGCGGCGCCGACTGGGATTCAACCCAGGCCTGCTGGGGTGAGAGGTAATCACGCTTACCACTACACCACCGGCGCCGCTAAACTCAATGTTGTTTTGTATTGCTGATTATATACTCATTCAAAGTTTCATCTTTCTTGAACTAAATTGTTTGTTTGATAATGCTCGAGGAATGTAGAATAACATGCGTGAATTCTACATTCATCGAGCATTATCAAAGTAACCTCAAATCAAAATACTGATGTTCGGTCTCAAGACTAAAAAATAGTGCAAATTAAATAATTTCTGTTAAACATATTACTAACGAATTGATTCTTAAATCCTCAGTACTTATTTATACAAAATGAAACTTGATAAACATTCATTACTGTAAAAAATATTTAGTATTTAGTACTTCAAAAAACTACCAATGTTACCCCTTTTTACGGCTTTCTAAAAATTTTAATAAATGGAAAAAGGACAATCGTGATAGATGGATTTGATATAAAGGTAGACTATGGTAAACATTTACCATAGCCTCTTGACCTTTTTGACCTTCCAGTTTACGAACAGCCTCTATTGAGACTTACAAAACCAACGCTTTCGGGATAGTTAAAAGTGGAAGATTTAATTGAGAAGCAGTTTTAGAAATCTTAAACATAATAAAATGCAATCTAGCGGAAAAAAATCTGACCTAATGACAGTTCTGGGTCATTCCCTTTATTACTTAGATTTCAAGGTGATTCTGGCTTCTGACGTAGAATATATGGGCATTGTGAGGAGAATTCAAAGTGCATATGAAAGAGAATTGATATGGAAGTCTAAAGAGATGATTTCAAGAGAGTTCTTTGATTTTTTAGAGAATTCCGAGGAGAACTTCAAGTGAAATAAATATGTCCATAAGCGTTTCCATGAGGATTCCAAAAAAAAAACTCTGACCGAAATTCCATTACATTTAAGTAGGATGTACGAAACTATCAGAGAATTAAAGTCTTTAAATAATAGTTGAAAAATGTCTAAGATCTAAGAAAACTGTCTAAGAATATTCATGAGAAAATTTAAGAGTTACAATAGATTCAGACATTAAAAACCGGACCGAGAATCAAACCTGACTATGCTATCTAAGACCCTGTAATTAACTTGCAATTAGTTATTCCGAATTATTTTTAAGTCTCCTGTAAGTGAATGCGGAGTTTAATTATATTGTTACCGTTACCAGTTTTATCTTAAATAAAAGACATACATTTTATTTTAGCAAATATAAATGCGATTAGCGTCTGTGGGAGGGGGTGTTGGTAAATGTGTTGTTTTGCTACAGGGTAGAGGGAGCACCAAACTGCCAATTTTTGCGTTATGTAATTTGTGAACAGACCCTAATGTACTAGCTATGCATTTTGAGCATATTCGAAATCAGTCTGTTTCACAAACTTATTATATTATCAATAGCATTAATTTGTAGTCGCATTTCAAACACTTCATACTTAAAATTTCATATTTGAGTCCTAAAAAAGAGTTTTTTACGCCATACTGCTCTATATACCAGAAATAAATTACTTATACTACTATCAAACAACGCTTTTTTCGCTATGTTCCAAATAACTACACGAGCAGCAGCCCAGTTGCGGGAACTATTTAGATGATCCATCTGTTTGCCTTTGTATTTTCATACTGATAAGAATCAAGCGACTGAATTTGATACTAGCTACTTTCGATATAAGTTACGAAAATTCCACATTGAACAAAACCTATTTTCATAGCCCTACAAAATAAATATCCTAATCAGACTCCTTATCAGACATTCAGTTTAACAATGCAAGTACAATTTTTCACACCAGAATGTCGCTACTGATATCATGGCACTTATGTTTTGTAGTAAGATAAAATAATCTATTCATAACTTTTTACTTTTGTATCAGATCAGGAGAGAGAAAAATAAGAACCAAAACGATTATCTTATGCAGTACTCACCACTGAAAACTACACTTATCATTTATCTACAAAAGCTGAGTTGGAAAATGCGTTCCAATGGCTGAAAATATTCCGAAAATATGTGAACTGATAAGACCGATCACCTCCCAGTTTATGTGTTCTTATCATCTTTGTTAGTATATAAGAGCTCATAAGGCATGAAAATGCTTCCATCCTATGTGTAAATACCAACACAATGTTGATGCGCAGTACGCATGCTCGAAAAATTTCACACTTTCAGTACAATGTGCATAGAATTTTTATCAGTATTATAAATGGAAATTTTCTTTCGATAAATATTCACTCAAAATCCACCCACTGCATTGTTGTAATTTTTTTTTGTTTACTTCTTCCCAAATTGGGCGAGCATAACATGTTGAATGAAGCTTATACGAGCTAGGAAAACCGCACATGGAATGCAGATGATTTTTCTCCTCAAGTATATGTTACTCATTCTTATCACTGGGTTTCTAACACTCACACTATTGCACAACACAAATAGACCTTTCCCATTTTCCATAACTAGGAACCAATCCTGAAAAAAAACAAACCTGTTTTTAAGACCACAACTTTATAACATGTTGTAATAATTTACGAAGAAAAATACCTTCAAGATAGGCTTATAACATGTTATAACTCTGTAGTTTGAACATAGCAATAAATCTAGATCAACATTTGAAATAGGTGGAACAACAAAACGTAAGCAATGTCTTTAAATGCTAATTTATCGAGAGTCAGAATACATCCATGCAGTCTAACACCAGCATATGATAGAGCAAACTTCCTTTATCGAATGGCATAATTGGTTTGCGTGGATGCGTTTCGGTTCTCGAGAAAGTTTCGTGGGTGTGTTTTGATTCTCGGGAAATTTGCGTTATAACCATTCCCGGATAAAAATAACCATATAATTAAATTGGCAATTAACCCTATTGTAATTAAGAGATGAACTGAAAAATCTCTATAATATAGAATTTAAAAAAAAAAACCTATTGCAATTGAATGCAATACATATCAATACATGTCATATGATCAAATAGTCACAACAAAAGGTTTAAAATAATTTAAAATTCTATGTTATCAAAAATTGAACAATAAAAAATACAATATATTGTTATGAGATCAAATTTATTCGAGAAAAAATAGATTTTTTATGGTTAGGGTAACTAATAACCCACCTTTTCTATAGTAAAAGTCTTGTTTAAAGATTCTATTGTACATAACAATAAGTAATGTATTTTTTTTTTATTGTTTTTGACTATAAAATTTATGGTTGCTACAATAAATGTTATTGCATTGTAACAAAAGGTTCTAATGTTTTTGTATGGTAAATTGTTGGTCTATAATCACATTGATTTTAAATAAAACTATTCGTAATTATCATTCAGGGTTCCATAGAAAACATCTAAGTTTTGCACAAATCGAAACTATGTTTTTTTTTTCAACATTGCACCTTTTGCACCATTTTGGCCACCTTTTGACGATAATTCACTTTGTTTACAATTTTGAGAAGTTCAGTTTGTTGGTACAAATCATATTCAACGGTGTACGTAAACATTTCAACCACAAAATGCACGAATATTGTAATTTAATCGGTTTTCTGAGGTGTGGCCAAAACTAGGAACCCATGACCAATACTGGTTCACCTGCCCTACCTAAAAAAAATCATACTAGAAAAAATATTAGTTTCCAAAGATCAATACAGACTATATATTACTCTATTGTACAATTTAGCACTTTGTTACATTCAAAATTGTAAATTTTTAATTTTACCGAAATCGGATGGATTATTTGTAGCGCCGCCGGAGTCTACTTTGGTGAAAAATGCGCAATTAATTATATGATTTGAGTAGTAGCTATATTGAAGATCCGAGAGATGTCGCCCCTTCAGTGGTAGGAAAATCATTTTTGCAGTATGGAGAATATCAGAAAATCCACGATTTGTGACTAAACATGCTTTCACAGAAGAAAACAAATAAACGAGTGTTTACCTTATCACCATAGTAATGTACTCGTGCAATTTTTGTGCATCTAAAACTGCCCATAAAGACGATAATGAATAAAAACTGAAAATTTTCATGCACTTCCCAATGGTTTCCTACCATTCCCATACATTCAAAGTGACTGGCTCTCTGGATGTGGATGATGTCAAAAACAACAAAACATGATTAATGAATTTAAGCACAGGTAAAACCAGGCGTTTGACATATAGCTGAATACCCCATAAAAAATTTGACAGATGGGGAATTTCCCTGTAGACCGACGAAATCGGTTGTTTACAAAAAAAGCCTATTAATAAACCGACAACGTCGGGATTAGTACACTAGTTATTTTTGTCAACATATTCGTTAGTGTATTTAATCGGATTCCGCCGGGACCGTCGACCATTAGATTTTATCTAGTGTAAAATCTGGAAATTGTATGTTTTTTGATCGGTGATTATTTTATTGTACGTATTAATATACAGACGAAGTCGGTTTACGTAGTGATTATAAAATAGTGACAGTGAGGCTAAGTGAGTGCAGCTTTATTATCAAATTTCATTACAACCTGGTAAGTTTTTTTTTATTAATATTTTTGTTTTTTAGGAAAGCATACAATGGCAAGCAGGTGGAGTACCTGGCGTAGTAAAAAAAAAAGCTGCTAAACACAAAGAATACAACAAGTTATATCGCCAATACCTGGAAGAATCAGATATGAAAAGTGATTCCGATGATGATCTGCAGCCCTCAATGGAGCATGAACAATGAAGCATGAACGACGGAATTGAAAGCAGTTTTGAAGGAAATGGAGAGCCCTTGATTGAGACACTGCAAAAGGATGGAATACATCATAATGTGAAGCCCACCTATTTCCATCCACCAACTACAGGTCTTATAAGTGAAGCTGGTCCTGGTCTTATAAGTGAAAGAACCCACTGACTTACAGATTTGCTGAATTTTGGATCTGTACAAGATATGAGACGCCCACTCGTATCCACATATAAGACCAGAAAATGGATGCAAATATCTAATAAGTGAATGCAGGAGGGGGGGGGCGGTCTTTCTTGCATTGGAACAATTCTCGGTGCATTTGCCGTTGCTTTTGTTAGCCAATACAACCTTTTACGATACTGTATTGAAAAATGTTCAGGAAAATGCAAGGAAAAAATATTAAAATTACAAAAAATTTCAACTTATCCCAAAGGTAAAATCAATGAAGAAAATCTGTTCATTGTCCTTCAAGGTCCTCATGATTCTGAGTGCTAGAATATGTTTTAATTTATATACAAACTTTCAAAACCACAATGTACTAAAGCAGTGTTTTTTCTGTTTCTCCTAGCAGCAGTGACACCACAGACAAACAGACATAACACATTGTATATTTCTCACTGTAAAACATCGTCGCTAAAACATTACCGCCATCTGTTGAGTACACTGTGGTGGATAGTACGCTGAACAGATGGCGGTAGTGTGTAAACGTCAAACGCAAAGGAATTGACTATGCGCGCCACAGGTGGCGGTACTACCAACTACGATACTTTTAGATTGACCGTTAAATGCTTGTTCAATGAACAACTTGCGAGTGTTATGTCTCTTTGTCTGTGGTGACACCGTGCATGAAAAAGAGCGAGACGATTAATTCGAGGCAGAAAACTTTAACGATCTCAAATCTAACGTTCCACTGAAATATCGGCTTGCATATTTCGTGTCACGTTACCACCTGAGTGTTGAAGCTACCAAAACATTAATAGAAATACTTCGTGATGAAGGTCTCGATGTTCCGATCAGTCGTATGACCTTGTTGGAAACTCCTCAAAGTGCTTTACTGCCTAAAAAAGTTCACCCTGGTGAATACGTCCATTTTGGAATTAAAAACACGTTTTCTAATTTGGTTGATGATCCAATTGTGTCAACAATGAGCGAGATAAATTTAGACATCAATATCGATGGTCTCCCCGTTTCAAAAAATGGAAGATGCTTATGGCCTATCCTAGCTGCATTCCCAAACGTGTTCGAAATCTCTCCGAATGGTCAGACTAAATTTTAAAATTCGCCTGTTCATATGTGACCGCCCAGCAACGTGTAAAATAAGCGGAACGATGTCACACGTCAGCAAACACGGTTGTCCGATTTGCGAGCAAGTTGGTAGCCGCGTAAATTGTGTCATTGTTTATTCGAAGGAAGAGAGCTGCGCACGAACTAACGAATCTTTTCGTCAGCGAGTGGATCCTGAACATCACCGTGTCCAGTCCGTTTACGGAGTTGAGCGCATCAATGGATTGGATATGATTCTACAACTAGGAGTAGATCCTATGCACGCTTGTCACCTTGGTGTAACAAAAAAGATACTTGAAAGCATGTTCGGGAAGTTGAAAAAAGCCGGATACAAAGGAGGAGATTGCGTAAAACTGATCGAATTAAAGCAGGTTTGTTCTGCTGGATTTAATTAAGATGAAATATTTGTCTAATTTTTCACTTTTTTTAAAAAGGTTCATTTTACTTTGAATTAGGGAAGTTCATTCCAAAGGAATTTGCAAGGCGTCCAAAACCATTCGAAGAATTGTCTAACTTTAAAGCAACCGAATTTCGTTTGTTTGATTCTTACATTGGTTTGCATGTCACCGTGAAGTTCTTTGAAAAAGAACAACACGAGCATTTCATGTTGTACTATTCTGCTCTTTGTCTGCTTTCTATCAAACAATGACATAGAGTTAGCAAGACAATTTCTTAGAGATTTTGTTCATATGTTTCATATATTCTATGGTGCAACTGGTCTTACGCACAACGTGCATATGTTATTGCATTTAGTTGAATTGTATGGAAATCTGTCCTCAATCAGCGCATTCAGGTATGAAAACTTTATGCAAGAGATAAAAAGAACTCAAAAGCATCAACTTAATCTGTTTTCATCGTAGAAACAATAATTTAATAAACTGATCAACCAGTATATTTCGTCTGGTTTCATAGAAGCCCGGCTACAACTCTGTCATCCTACTAATCGTTCGATTTGGTCGCTTCTGGTTGACTGATTTCCTATGTTTTCGACTACCGATTTCGTGTGCTGACGCGCTGACTGGTTGATCAGTTTATTAAATTATTGTTTCTACGATGAAAACAGATTAAGTCGACAAATAAATCAGCATACGCAA